TCTATATATATATAACAACCAGTAAATGTTTCCTAAAATATACATGCAGAATATACAACAGTAAAATAAATTAGTTGTATTTTAATCCTCTTAAATACTAAGCTGAAGTTTTCCTTTTGCCTTGAAAAAATAGGTCAAGGAAAAGTCAATGGAACATAGATGATAACAAAATTCAAATACTTGGTATTTTAACAGTACTTAAAATATATTCAACATAAAATAAATAAATACAGAACAAAAGTTAACTAATAATACTCTATAAAAATATCTCTAAAGGTGATGGGTGTGTAGCACAAAAACTATTCTAAATGATATTCACTCAGCAAATTTATTACCTGACGGAGAGCCTCAGGAGTATGGTTAGTACTATCTCTGCTCTTCCACCAGCTTGATAATATACTACTCTTTACAGGAGTAAAAGAAAGTTGGAGAAACAGTTATTTTGCTAGAGAGTTTACAATTTTAAAATTAAAACAAGTTACTTTAAAAATAAATGTTACTATTTATTATTATCTACCACATGCAGAGCAAAAGCTTATAAGCATTTTAAATACATTAACCCCCTTTCAAAAAGGAGGAAATTGAGATCAAAAAGCTTATGTGACAGGCCAATCCGCCTGGGTGGGATACATCAGGAGTTTGGCGGCCCTGCAATCAAGAAGGTGCAATAAAAGGTAGCTTTCAGCCCACCACTAGACAGAGGCCTGAATATAATACCAGACGATGGAAAAATATTTCTCTCCCAAAACTTGCTATGAGCAATGAAGCCAAAGATTTTAATTAAATGACAAAGATTAAGTCAAGCAACTTAGCCATTTCAGTTTCTCTAACTTCTCTAGCAACCCTTTTCTCTTCCACGGGACGGTAAGTGACTAGTGTATAGGAAGGTATATTGAAGCAGTTCCCTGTAAGATAAACTATCATCAGACCTATAAAGGTTCAATTTTAAAAAAGGAAAAACTATGTATTTTAATACCCATGGCTTATGAAGACCAATAAACTATGGTGATACTCTTAAAAGTTATAAATATGCCATAAATGACTAATTTAGTTGCTAACAGCAGTGCTTATGAACAGAAGAGCAGTATAGCAGAGTTTATGCTTTATAACTGAGCTTAAAAATACGAAGATTTGCTTGTTAAATGTTCTTATCAGCTAAGTATTTACCTCCTCCATTTCATTACTTTTCCTCTTCCGGGCCTTGGAAATCTTAACTGTCACTGGCGTGGGGCAGCCAGGGTGTTTCACTGCCATTTTGTTTGGCTGTAAAGGTGTAAACTGGATCTCTAGCTCAGGTTTTGGAAATCGAGTACTTTGATGATTTTCTGATGACACTTCACAAGAATCAAGGACTACAGATCCATCCTAGTAGAATAAAAAGGAGAGAAAACATATTTGTAGAACATTAACTCATAAACCACAAAAAATTAATTCTCTCAAATGCTTATTCAAGACAAAGAATTAGGAAACAGAAAAGTACGCTGGGCCACACCTCAGTGTTCCTTACAGCATTCATTTCATTCTTCTACTGTAACGCTTAGCCCACAGGTCAAATATGTCACTGATATTCACATGTCTTCCTAGATTCCTTACTCCTTAAGAATGGTGATCATGTTGTATTTATGTTTGCACTCTCAGAGCTTAGCAAGATTCCCAACACTAAATAGTCCCTATAAATGTGTTTAAAAGATCAATTTAAGGAGTCAGAAAATGGTACACTGGTAAAATGCAAAGCTCTGCAAGACAGACCACACGCGAAGGTTGTCTGTTCAAGTCTGGAGAACGCCCGGAGTACACTGGGCACGCATATACCTATGATCCCAGGCTGGCTGAAGCTGGGAGTGGATGGCAGTGTTAGGACCCTGTTGGAGGGTATCTCTCTACTGTATCCCTATTTCCCTCACTCTGTCTCTCTCACTCATGAATAAATGAACTTAAAAATAAATTTTATAGGAATTGCATTTCCAAATATTTTAAGTGACACAGAATTTGTATTCATTTCCTGTCCAAAATGAGATTCTCCATGTTTTCCAAAGTTATTCACAAAGCACTAAACCAAATGCAAATTCAAGGAATTTATTGTGAGTTACTGAAGGCTGGTAACAAAGTATTAAATTAGAAATATTTTTTTAAATAAAATTTAATTTAATACAATGCTTTTTTTTTTTTTTTGAGAGATTTTCACTGTAGGGCGTGTGCGCTTGCCAGACAGACAGAGAGAGACATAGAGACAGAAAGCGAGAAATCACCCCCCAGGGGGGATGGTCACGCCGCAATCCCTTCTCCTTCATTCTCCTCTCGGGATCTTGGGCACGCACGCACACGTGCCCGGCGTGAGTTTTAAGCCACCGGGTCCAGGACACGAACCGCGGTCGACTACGTGGGAGTCCAGCAACATAGCCATTACGCTAACTGCTGGTTCCCTACAATGCTTATTTTAAAAACCTTTTTATAAGACAAAATAATCATCCCATTTTATGTTTTGTGGGATTTCCTATTTTTGACAATTAAGTTTGTTGTTAATAGGTGTATTGTTTCAAGGAGATTAACATAATGTAGGGATCTAAGCTTCCTAAAAAATGTTACCTCCCCTCAAAAAGTGTAGATCACAAATAGCCAACTGTGAATGAGGTATAACATCCACGATAACTGAATACATTATACTTAAACTGTTAGTAATTCATGGTGGGTAAAGAGGATAAAGATGAGACGATGTTACCAAATACCCACCTCAACTTCATCCCTGGAAATTTCAAACCTTGCTGAAGGAGGTTCAGTTTCCACACTGCCAGAATCTATTGAACTGGGCTTGATATCCATGGTTTGTTTTTCCTAAAGTAAGAAATATTGCTTACTCTTAAATACATTAAAATGCTTCACAGGGATCAGTAAGTGACATAGTGATTAGGGAGCTGAACACTCCCACATGGCCAACCACAGTTCAAGTCCTGGACCTGGTGGCTTGGTTTCTCACTTTGCCTCTCTCTCTCTGTTCAAATGAAAACTAATGAATGAATAAATAAAATTAAATAAATAATTCTAAAAAAAAAGCTTCATACAAATAATGTAAAATCAAAGTTTGCATAGACTAAACAGTAAAAATAATTAAAGGCTTCTTTAATGATCACCTTAACCATCCTTCTACCTTTCTTGATTCTCAGAGACTCAGGAAAGAATTGGAAAACTTTCCAGCGTCTTCTGAGTCTGATCCAAGGAGAAATCTGAACTGTTACATTCAACTTCCAAAGTGTTTACATTCTTTCATTTCACTGTCTTGCAACTCTCTAGTTAGATTTGCCTAAAATCATTACTCCTACTTTCCTAATCAGGAAGCAGAAAACTAGAAATGCCGAATGACATGACAGAGTCAGATTCTGAATGCCAATAATTGCTACTGATATCACAATTTTCAAAAACTAGAAGCTTCTTGGGAATGCAACTACATAGAATCAGAGTAGAAAAGGCCATAATAACTAAATCTTTTCTTACAGCAGATCTTTGTCCCATTTTCTCAGTCAAGTTTTATTCCTAAAATCAACTCAAATAACTTATCAGATTACATTTTAAACTTGACAATTTCTGATGTAGACCTCATCAGAGCCATTGAAATTAAGTCAGATATCTCTCTTTTATTATCTACCCATCGCTGCCAGATAGACAGATTCTATTAAACTCATAATGGGGAAAGCAACTAGCTTATACTAGCTTTCACCATGGTAAGAAATGGCATAACTGATCTACAATCTCTAAATTTCATAACTATTAAAGAATATTATAACCTACTGTAGATAAAGTTCAGAAATGTTAAGGAATTTTGCCCAAAGGTGCCAAAACCACAGTGACAACAGTGGACATCTAGTTTTGGCTTTCTAGTCTGTGTTATTTATACAACATGATACTACCTCTGTTTGGAGTAGGCACTAGAGTCATGAAGTCTTCTGGTGGGACACATGCATACATTTTTTTCTATTGTCTAAAGGCTTTAGAGCAGTAGATTTTTAAGTAGATAATATATTCCAGAAAAACTAGTTCAGTTACATCCTGATTCAATTTAATAGAAAGAAACTAGCTATGAGATACTCCTCTCTTCATTCAGGATTCTCCACCCCACATAATCTTTCAGAGATAACTGGTACATGATTCATACCTCCATCACTGTGTTTTCGTATTTTATACTTAATATGATGAACTTAAGGGCGGGACTAAGTATTCAAATATCAGCAACACCTCATGTCGAATCACATTATCAAATTTTAAAGATATATTAGGTACTAAATCATAAACTGTTCATTTTTTTTAAGAATTATTTTATTTAACTTTATTTTTTAAATTTATTTAAATTTGACCAGAGAAGGACAGAGTTGTGGAGGGAGAGAAGAAAACAAGAAAGCAAGCCACCAGGTCCGGACTCAAACCGCAGTCAGCCATGTAGGAGTACAGCACCTTTGACCAACATGCCACCTGCCAGCTCCAATTTTCTAATTATTCTACCTGGGAGATATAAATAAAGTCGTTGATAATGCAATAATAAACTTAGAAAACTCGAAATTCATGACTGAAAAAAAAGTTTTTTAAACTTGGATTCCTTTCTGGTATAATGAGACTTACTTTTTAATCCTGTAAGAATTAAACCATTAAAAAAAATTCCTATGTTCAATAAAAAAGGAATACAGGGCCAGCTCTGTGGTACAGCAGTGATGTGCTACTCAAAAGGAGCCACAGTGACAATGGTTCGGATCCCCAGCCCCATCAGCCTGAAACACACTGAGCACATGTGTGAGTGCTCAGGCTCCAGCTGGCTGGAGCAATAAAAGCAGAGAACTGTGGCATAGCCAGAGTTTGTGGAAGGTGCTCGTCTCTCTCCCTTTCTGTCTAACGTGTCACTCAGGAGCTCTGTCATCATGAATAAAGAAAACGAAAGTTTTAAAAGGAGCACAAAGAACAAGACTCTACTGACTGGTTTAGAAGACTCTGCTGTGATCTTTTTCAGTTCTTCAATCTCGTTATCTTTCTGTTGGTTGTTGGAGATCAGTGTTTTCAGCTGTATTTCTAACGCTGCAACCAGTTGATCCCGTTCTTCTCGCCACTTTTGAAGGTTACGATCTTTCTCTACCAGCTGTGCTGTCAGTAATTCCTAACCAGGAAAAATAAAAAACATTAAAGTAAACATTAAAATGTTGTTTATCTATGGATGTTTAGAAATTTTTATTATATATAACCTAATAGCAACAAGCAATAGAAAAAAGAAAATAAAAGTAATACCTTTTATGATGGGTCCAACAATCATGTAATGTTTGGTCATCGGGAAAGCCATGTTGAAAAGTACATCATGATTATCCTGATGACCCAATACTAACTGACTGATGCATCCAAGAACATATGCGGAAAACCTAAACATGAAAACTTAGAAAATGCAGTTGAAAGAGATGAAAGAATATCTAAATAAATGGATTTAAATCTAAGTCAAGAATTTTAAGACTCAGTATTGTTAAGATGTCAGTTTTTGAGGCCAGAGAGTGGCAGAGTGGTTAAGGCACTAAACTCCCACATAGCTGCCAGTGGTTCAAGTCTCAGACCTGGTTGGTGGCTTGCTTTCTCATTCTCTCTCTCTCTGTCTGTCTCTCTCTGGTGAGCATGTGTGCTCTATAGCAAATTAAAATAATAATATTAATAATAATAATAATAAATTAAATTAAATAATACTTTAAAAATACTGTCAATTCTCTTTCAAATAGACCTATAGAGTCAAAGCAATTGCAATCAAAATCTAGGTGCATGTATGTGTAAAAATGAAAACACTGACTTTAGCAGTTATATGGAAAAGCAAATGAACAAGAGCAGTTAAAATTATTTTGAAAATGAATAACAAAATAGGAGATCAACTAAGATATTTCAAGCCTACTACAATACTCAAGACAGCGTGACAATGGTATAAAGACAGAAAAATCAATATAACAGAAGATCCACGAGTGTTTGGTCATTTGACATTTTACAAAAGTGCCAAAGAAATTCAATGAAGGGAAAGAATACTCTTATCAACAAATGGTCCTGGAACAATAAATAATCAAATTTTAAAAATGTTAACCTCAACCCTAACCTCACACCATATACAAAAATTAATCCTTGGTAAAATGATCTATGACAAAAATGGCAGAGCACTGAGGAAGAAATGGTCTTTTAAACAAATTCTACCAGGTCAACTCGTAATCAATGTTAAAACAAACAAAAGGAGCCTTGAAACCTATTTCAGAGAAAGACAAAAATCAATTCTAGGATCTGAATTAAAAAGGTAAAACCACAAAGCTTTCAGGAAATAGAAAATCTTCCTGTCCTTGGTATTCATAAAAAAAAGATTACGAAAATCAGCTGTAATAAATTTCAGAACTTCTATTCATAAAAAGGCAGTAAGAGAATGAGAAAGCGAACCAGACTAAAAGAAAGTATATGTATCATGTTACAGAAGGCACCTATCTGAAAAGTGTAAAGAACTAATTTAAATCAACAAGAAAAAGTTAGACAAAACAGTAGCAAATCAAGCACCTGTACAGATGCTCTACAAGTAAATAAATAATAGAAACAGTTTTCATTAGTAATCAGAGAGAGAATGAGAGAGAGAGAGAGACAAAGAACATGAGAGAGAAAGATGTATGGAAAGATGTCTAAGAGAACTGACTATAGCAAAAAACCAGGCCATAACTCAAATACTTCAACACTAAAATGAATACGGCCAGCCACAGTGGCACAGCGGTAACATAACACTACTCAGTGCTGAGGCCACACAGGATGGCCGCAGGTTTGCATCCAGGTCTTCCCGTGCACAGTGAGCATGTGCGGAATGCCCATGATCCTGGCTAGCTGAGCTAAGGGTGCCTATGTATGTCTGTCTTTTTCTCTCTTATGGAAAAAATTAATTATTTTTTAAAAGAGGGCTAGAGAGTGGCAAAGTGGTAAAAGTAGACAATGCAATGCAGACACGTGGGAAGGTTGCCAATTCAAGTCCAGAGACGTCCCTGACTATACTCAGTGCTCTTGTGCCCATCATACAAGTTGGCTGAAGCTGGATCATGGCATCAAGACTTTGTCAGGGATGGTTTATTTCTGTCTGTCTCTTTTACTCACAGAATAAATTAATACTTTATTTTTAAATGCACTTGTAAAAATAAACGAATAAGCAGTGGTACATTCCTACAGTGAAATATTCAGCAATGAACATGGACTAGTTAGAGGTAATATGGAACAACATGTATGTTCTCTAATAAACATAATACTGAGTGAAAGAAGTCAGGCGCAAATACAGTAATACAAGTCCATTTACCTAAAGTTCAAAAATAGGCAAATCTTGGGGCCAGCTGGTGATGTGGTAGTTAACAGCGAGATTCCACATACATGGCTACTACGGTTTGAGTTTCAGACCCAGTGTCTTGAAAATCCCACAGGGTGTGTGTTCATGAGTACAGAAAATCCCCAGAGGAGAATGGAGGAGACGAGACTGTGACATGGTCATCCCCTCCTGGGAGGTGGGTAGGGATGGTGGCGATTTCTCTCTTTCTAACCCCCTCCCTCTGTTTCTCTCTGGAGATCGCAATAATATTAAAGAATAGTTATCAGTGCACAAGTATTTTAAAAAGAAACATAGTTTACTTGTGCAGAACAGATCGGATTTGAGAGATTGATAATGCCCTTGAAGTGATTTTTATAGGGGTGAAACAAACGGTGAGAATTTGAATTGGTCTCTCTTATTAGAGTATTGAAATTAAGTCTAATTTATCAAGTCATGTTCATGCCCTGATTTTATATACTTGTATCTATCAATAAACACTGTGATGCCTGGAAAAAAAAAATAGTTATCACCACTGGGAAAGATACAGAAGAAGGGGCTTCTGGGGGTATTAACAAAATTCCATTTCTGGAAATGGGTATGCCAAGTGGTATAGTAATTCACCAAACTACGTTTTGCTGACTTTCTATATTATATGCTACAATGAAAAAATTTAAAAATAAAAACTCTATTTCTCAAATACGGCATACATGGGGCCAGCAGGTAACATGGTGGTTAAGGTTCTGAACTCCCATAGTTAAGGCTCTGGCCAACCACAGTTTGGGTCCTCTGTTTGGCAGCATGCTTTCTCACTTTCCCTCCTTCTCTCTCTCTGTCTCTGTGGTCAAATTTTAAAATAATAATAATAATAATAATAAATAAAATTAATAATTCTTAAAATATGGCAAACACAAATACAGTCTAGGTATGATTATAAATAAACATACATGAGAGAAGAACAAGCTAACCTCCCTTAGGATTAAAAACTCAAAATGGGTCTGGACAGGAGCACAGCAGTAATGTAACATTCTGTAAGAGTGACCCTAATGGGAAGGTTTTTGGTTAGAGCCTGGAGACCTCCTGAACATGCCAGGCATACACACACCTATGATCCAGACTGGCTGAATCTGAGGGGTAGATCACCGCACTTAGTTTAGTGTGTGCCTGACTGCCCCCCTCTCTGTGAGTCAAAGAAAAAATAAATTAAAAACAAACAAAACAAATGAAAACGCAGTGGGTTTACTTGCTGTTATTGCAGCCACTAACCAGGAAAATAAAGTATTCCCCACTTTCTGGGTTGGAACTGGAATGATTGTGACAGCCTACAGTTTTGTTTTTATTTCTCACCTCTTACTACTAGACAAAAAGACTTGATGGGCTAGGGGACAGGAGCAGAGAGCCAGCAGCGTACTTTAAAGCAGTTACATAATCAAAATTCTGCTCAACCCAACACTTCCCGGAGCTACCTCAATCACCTCCATCACCGGCAGATGGCGCATGGAATGAAACACATCTTACAATGGTAGTAAGATTAGGATTAGCCTCACGGGAGTTGGCACATGACCCAAAATAAAAAGCCAAGACTCTAAGGAAACATAACAACTGATTGTAAAGTAGTATCTTGGATTTGATTATGGCTCATTATTGAGAAAACTGGTAAAATTCAAATAAGGTCTAATATTTAGCGAAAAGTATTATGATAGTGATTTATTGGAACAATCACTATATTATTATGTAAGATGCTAACATCGGAACCTGAATAATGAGTATACAGAAATTCTCTGTACTGATTTTGTAACTTTTCTGTAAATAATTTCCAAGTAAAAAGGTAAAAAAAAAAAAACCCTAAATCAGAGAAAGTAAGTTTATTTACACCCAGATACCTGAGGACGGAACATTCAAGGATACATCCTACAGCTTAAGAAAAGACAGATATTTCAACCAAGGAGTTTTGTTTAGATATGGCTTTTCCAAGAGCTGTACATGTACATGATCAATCGCAACCTGCCCACAGATATACTGTGGAGAACCTCAAAAGCTGTTCTTTTGCATGACTGGCAACACTGCTAGTCAAACCTGCTCTGTGCCAACTAAAACAAGAGGGAAAAAAAAGGCAAAGACACAATCCGTAAAAAAGCTCCAGTTAGTCACTTTAACACTATGTATCATTTCTATTAGACAGTTCTCTAGAAACAATTTAGTTGGCTTTCCAAAAAGCCCTGATAAAATTGGTGTCAGGTAAAATGCACACACCATGTTAGAATCTAAAATTCAAAATGTAAAACCTTTTAAAATATAAGGGAAAACACTGCACCAGTCAAAAAGAAGAGAATTTTTAAGACAGAATCTACTAAAAAGCCATTAGGTATTCTCCCAACTTGCTGAATGGCCTGAAAAAAGTTAAAATGAGAACAAATGTAACTGAATGAAGGTCAAGATAAATGGAGAATAAAAGTTATCTTACAAATAGACAAACCTGCCTTTATGAAACAAAACAGTAGGCAACTTCCCAGAGACTAATACAAATCCCAGGAATAAGTTGAACAAAAGAACACAAGGAAGTGAAATACATGGAAGATACAATGTTACCCACTATTTCCTGGAAGATACAATGTTACCCACCACTTCCTGCTGCTGCTTTAAACACCTCTCCCTGTCTTCTGCATATCTTTTCATCTCTTTGTTTCGCAGATTCTCAGCTTCTTTTGCTTGAGTGATAAGCATTGTTTTTTCTTCTAGCCATTTCTTTCTATCAGCTTTGTATTTTTGTTCAGATTCCTGTACGTATAAACAGTATAAGTATTGATTATATCATTTTTATGTAATTCATCACTTTACACCTTTTAAAAAACTTGAAAGTGTTTTACTTTAAATAATGACTTATTTACATTACAAAAAGAAACATTAGTAGCTTGCTTTCTGAAACAGTATTTACTTTGTAAAATTTTTCTTAGTTTCCTTCTCTCTTTCATGAGAGCAAGAGACAGAGACAGTAACCTCCACAGGGTCTCATCACACACTGATCAACTACCCAGCCTTCCAGCTAGTTAGGATCTTGGACACCTATGTGCCCACTGTGTTTCAGGCTGACTCTGGATAAAAACCCAGGGGCAGGCATGTGGCTTCAAACACTACAGAGGAGCATACTACTGGCCTGTACCATGGCAGCTGGGTCTATAAACGTCATTTTGCTATCAAGTCTATAGAAGGACTTTGTTTTTATCCGTGAGCTTAAGAAGAAATAAAATTTCTCAGTGTTACAATGATTTAAGTCTTCCTAAATGCCAGGAGGGAAAAAAAAAAATACTTGGTTTGTGGCAGTCATTTCTAATTGTATGATTAAAAAAATAACATATTTCAGTGTACACAGGTGGCCAAATAAAGAATAACCTTATGCAACAAGACAAGCATTTATTAAAAGAACAGATGAGGGAGCAGCAGATTGAGTAATGGTTACGTCACTGGACTCACATGTAGTTAAGGTGGTTCAAGTTCTGGACCCAGTGACTTAAACCTCATGCCAGGCACATGTGCACGTGTGCCTAAAATCCCTAGAGGAGAATGGACTGTGGCACGGACAGCCCCTGGGGAATGATTTCTTGCTCTCTGTCTCTCTGGGGGGCACATGCGCCCTATAGTAAAAATCTCTCTTAAAAAAAAAATTGAAAAAAATTAAACAGACAATACAGCCAACAAGTAGTTTTCAAACTGGATTCCACAGAACCTTTAGGTTCAGAGCCATTTTTTTTTTGTTTTTTTTTTCTTTTGAAGGTTTTTGCCATAGGGTACATGAACTCACCAGAGAGAAGGAAAGTGAGAAATCACCCCCCAGAGGAGGTGGACACATCGCAATCCCTTCTCAATTCTCCTCCAGGATTTGGGCATGCACACTCCTGGTATGATTTTCAAGCTTCCAGATCCAGGACTCAAACTACACAGTCAGCCATGTGGGATCTGGCCACCTAAACCTCCACACTACCTCCTAGCCCTGGAGGTATCTTATTTTATGTATTCAAAATCTATGTAAAACTTTATTTAAAGCAAAAATAAAACTTTACATCTTCTAAAACAAAGCCTAGCCTTGTTGATGTAATTGGTAGCTGACTCAATTGCAAGGCTGGCAGTCATGTGGTGACCGAGGACTCAGATCCCTTATCAACCTACAAATAAGCTGGGTGTGTGCATACCCAAGATCCTGATGGACTGGAGTATGTGGAAAGGGATTTGCGGCATGACAAGACTCTGTCAAGGGTGCCTGTTTCTTTCCTCTCCCTGCATGCATGTGCACAGAACTCTCTCATCAATAAAATAATTAAAAAAAAATACTTTTCATAAAGAAAAAAAAAATTTTTGAGACATTTTTGCTACAGGGCATGTGAGCTCACCAGAGATACAAAGAGAGACTGAGAGAAAGAAAGTGAGAAATCATCCTCAGGGGGATGGCACTCACAATCCCTTCTCCTCCATTCTCCACTTGGGATCCTGGGCGAGCACGCACACATGCCTGACAAGAGTTTCAACTCACTGGGTCCAGGACTCAAACCAAGGTCGACTGCATGGGTGTCCAGTGACGTAACCATTACGCTACCTGCTGGTCTCCAAAATAAAAACTTCTAAAACTATCATACTAAATCAGCAATGGCAAATTATTCCAGAACTACAGGTAAAATCTAAGTTTTGTGAGCCCATCATCTTAACACAAGGATATACGCCGATGGTTCTGGGATTTTTTACTTAGCTAGAAAGTATGTGTGCCTGTCAGAGAGACAAAGAGAAAGAAAAAAATGAGAAAGCATCCTCCATGGAGATGGTCATGCTACACAATCTCTTCCCTTCCATTTTTCTCTTTCAGATTTTGGGCATGCTTGCACAGGTGTTGGTATGTTTATCAAGCCACTGAGTCCAGAACCGTGCTGTCGGTCATGTGGGATCCAGCTTAACCACCATGCCCCTGGCTGGCCCAGTGCATCTTAAGATGAACATTCTCAATAAAGTGGATGTATTATTTTTCATTATTACTGGGTATTTATTTGCTTAATCAGCTTTTGGATTCCTCAGAATACAAATGATATATTCTAGAATATATTATTAAATATTACAAAGAAAATTAATTTTTTGTATTTGTTTTCACTATCTGATTATACAGCCTGAATTTAAGAAAATAATTTAAAAGTAACTAACTTTTCAAAACCATTATTACAGAACCAACAGTTGGTATAATGGCTATGTCACTGGACTCCCATGTCGTCTACCACGGTTTGAGTCCCGGACTCGGTGTCTTAAACTCACGCCGGACACGTGTCTGTACATGCCCAAGATCCTGAGAGGAGAAGGGATTGCAGCGCGGCCATTCCCCCTGGGGCATGATTTCTCGCTTTCTGTCTCTTTGTCTCACTGTGTCTTTCTGGAAAGCACATGCGCCCTATAGCAAAAATTTCTCAAAAAAAAAAAAAAAAAACCAGAAACACATCCACACAAAAAAATTATTACATTCCCTTCAATTCGCAAACTACAATTACGAAGGCAACTTTTAATAAAATGTGCAAAATTGTAGTATTTCATGGGCAGTATTTAAATAAAGTCTAAGAAAATATATTTCCTCCCAATTTCCATATACAGTATATTAAAGATAGACAGGAAAAAATATATATACAAACACAAAAGAGAGTATCTTCTGTAGAGTATGGTTTCAAGTGCACGCTAATGTTCAGATATATATTTGATTCCAGTCTAATATTTAAACTTTGGAAAGATTATTTATAGTCATCAACATAAATCTCCTGATGCCATCTTCTTCACAGAAGTATTTGATAAGTAAAAAGTTTAAGGAACAGAAAAAAATGGCTACAAACACATTAGAAGTAGTCATTTAAAAATAAATGTGTAGGGGTCAGCAGGTGTGGTGGTTAAGGCACTAGCGAAATGACCAACCATAGTTTGAGTCCTGGACCCATGGCTTAAAAATCATGCCAGGCACATGTGTGTGCATGCCCAAAATCCCACGAGAATGCAAGAGAAAGGATTGTGGTGTGGTCATCCCACCTGATGGGGGGGAGTGATTTCTTACTCTGCTTGCTCGCTCACTCACTCATTCTCTGTCCCTCTCTAGCAAGCTCATGCACCCTATGACAAAAACCTAAAAAATAATAAAAGGCACTGACAGGATTGCATGGTGGTTAAGGCCGTGGACTCCCACAGGACCAACCGCAGTTTGAGTCCCTGACCTGGTGATTTGCTTTCTCACTTTCCTTCTCTCTCTAGTAAGTGCATGTACCCTATAACAAATTTAATAATAATAAGTAAAATTAAACACATAATATTTCAAAATTATAATATAAATAAATATATAAAACTGAGGATCCAATCACTGCATTTTTATTATCATTTTAATAGTTTCTATCTTGAAAATGTCTTCTGTGTCATTTCAATGTGCACTGAAAAATTATATCTGTACGTCAAAATTTTTCATAGCATTTCACCTTTATCTAAATGAATTACAAAATATAAAATGCTGAATTCTCTTATTAGATATATAAAGAACACAGACAGACACATGACAAAATCATACCTGTAGCTCGTCTTGCAGATTACCAAGCTTTTTACTAAGTACATCTGTGTTACCCTCGAGTTCTTTACTTGACTTTTGATGACTTCTGGTTTCCAGATCATTGAATTTTTCCTTCCACTGTTTCAGTTCTGATTTGAAAACATAAACTTATCTTTTAAAGCACATACAAAAGTAATACCATGTAGAGATACAAGCGGCATGGGTATGGACAGAAATCAGCAGAGCCTGGAAGAACACAGGCTAGGATGCTAACAGGACACTGAGACTATTCTAATGGCTGAGTTTTTAAGAGATGCCAAAATCTTGGTGAAGAGGAATTACGAGGACCTCTCAGGAAATCAATAAACAATGCTCTGAGTATATAGCATAAATTCATGTTAACCTTAATTATATAGGAAACTTCATGCAAGTCCCTCCAAACAAGCTATGCCATGAAAATGGGTAGGAAAGAATAAGCACCTCTGCTCTTCCTGCTCATAATTCCATCCACTATAATGGTTTCAGAGCTTATGAAGCGTTCTTATATTCATCACATCTGATTTTATAATAATAATGTGCAACAGTGTACTGGCATTGTCATTATCAATCACATTTTACAGATAAGGAAAATGAGGCTGGGTCTACACAAGTATCCTGACAAAGTTATACATAAAATGGCATAGACAATTTAATAAATCAAAATTTCTTGCCCTTTCTACAAGAATCATCATAGTTTTATTAATAAACTATATGTTATATTTTTCCACATAGTTTTGGAAAAACTCTGATGGCATTCTACAGGCAATCAGAGTATTTCTTGCAATAAATATACCAGATGACGCTAAAAGCTGGGTATAGGTAAAATTCACTAAAGAACTTATTCTTAGCATCAAGGAACAATGCAAGTTACCACCCAGAACCGGTAACGCATAATTCATAAGTTATTATGAAGTATCCGTAGTCCTTCTTTACTGCATACAATTTTACTTAGATAAAATTTTCATTATAGTGTAAAATGACAAATGACAGACATTCAAAAAAGATACCAAAGATTTTTCCAATATGAATTATTAGAACTTCCATACTATTTTAAAATAAAAAAGAAAGATATCTAGGAAAATAAAGAAAATTAGAGAATATGTTTTGAGATATTATGTAAGCAATCTTGTTTCACCTGTGGCCAAATTTTCAACTTCTTCTAATTTAGCTTCAAGCACTTGATCTTGTTCTACTTGAGTTTGTTCTTGTTCTTGTAATGTCATTCTCATGTCTTCAATTATTTTCTCTTTAATATTTAGATCTAAAAATTTGAGAAAACATTTTAAAAATAACATCCAGATACCAAATTTTTCTGCAGTTTTTCTGAAATGAAAATATATCCTACTAATTATGCTGGGATATGAAGTCCATACAAAGCAGGAGCTTTTGTCTTGCTCACTATTATCCCCTCAGTTCTCAGAACAGTACTGGCATAGCGAACAAACTAAATACATACTTCATTTACAGATGGATGATGCGTGACTTTAAAAATGAGTGTATGAGGACCAGCAGTTGGCATAATGGCTATGTTGCTGGACTCCCATGTAGTTAACCATGGTTCGAGTCCCGGACCCAGTGGCTTAAACTCATGCCAGGAGCGTGTGCATGTGTGCCCAAGATCCCCAGAGGAGAAGGGATTGCAGTGTGGCCATCCCCCCTGGGGAATGATTTCTTACTTTCTGTCTCTGTTTCACTCTGGCTTCTGGTGAGCGCACACGACATATAGCAAAATCCTCTCCCAAAAAAAGAGTGTATAAATAGAGTAAGAATCTTCAAATAAAATGAACAATTTCCAGTTTAATTAAGCTATTACTCTTAACAATACAAATTTTAGGACTTAGAAAAGACATTATTAGGCAAAACACTTAATTTTAGTGTCAATATTCACAAGCTAAAACTAAAATTCAATAAAATTTTAAAAAGGATCAAGCCCAATTAGGTCTTTTTTTTAAACTGTCAAGTAATCACTAATCTTAGAAAAATGCTCAAAGTCAAATATTTATCTCAGTTGTTTTTAAAACCAGTTTACCAGAAATGACAGTGCTACTAGTCTTACCAAAATTATTTCTAGAACTTTGAAATCTGAGTACAGTAATGACTTGTAAGCAATATTACTTTAACCCTGTCTCCAATAAACAGATACAGACCAAAGACTCATGTGCTGTCTCTGCTAGTGATTAAATAAAGGAATTCTCAGTCACTGTCATTGCTTTGTGTTGGGGGGCTGCAAAAACTCTTTGGGTTACTCAGAAATATACAGTAAACTGCTAACTAAGTTTACATGTGCATGTGTGTATGTGTATATTTTTTTCTTTTTCTTTTTCTTTTGCCAAGAGGGCACATACATCCTCCAAAGAGAGAGAGAAAGTAGCCCCAACAATCCTTTTTCCTCTATTTCTCTATCCATCCAGGATCTGGGGCATGCTCACATACACACCTGGTGTGTTTTCCTGGTCAATGGGCCAGGAACTCAAACTACAGTCAGCCAAGTGAGATCTGATGCCCGATGCAAAGCGTTTAACCACCGAGCTATGGGGGGTCAGTCCCACCCTGTAGTATTTTACAACATTCAAAATTCTTCTTCTTATCTCTCTGTAATTTCGTTTCCATTAATGAACACTACTCTCTCTTCTCCTGCATCCTTTCCACCTTGTAATAGTTATTCTTCAGCTCTACCCCTATAAGGTCATTTATTTCAATATCCACATGTGAGACTACATGGTACTTCTTCCAAAATATATAAAGAACTCTTATATAAAAGACAAATAACCTAATTTAAAAATGGACAATGGACTTGAACAGACATTGCTCCAACAAAAACATACAAATACTCCATATAAAAAGATGTCCGACATCACTAGACTTTAAGGAAATGCAAACTAAAACAATATACCACAAGGATGTTGGGTCAGTGTCTCCACCCCAGATCCATGCCTGCCATGTCCCACTCCATCCTAAGACATGGGTCATCTCTGTCCAGCTTATCCACAAGGCACATACTACCTGCCCATTAGTAACTTAGTAACCATTTCAGTTACCAGATCAATAAAACATGAGATAAAAGGTTTGGTACTATCCACCATTTCTGGTCTCTCCTAGGGGTCTTTGAACATATGCCCCACAGATAAGGAGGAACTACTGTTTCAGAAAACTTCCAAATGTTCATGAAAATGCAATAAAATTATGAGTTTATTTTGGCAAAAAAAAAAAATTAGAAATCAATCCATGCAGTTTTTTCATAGTACACATTTGCCATAAACTATATATACATATATATATATACACACACACACACACATATACATACACAGACATATGTATGTATACAAATGTGTATATATACATACAGACATATGTATGTATATATAGGTATATATACATACACAGACATATGTATATATATAGGTATATATACATACACAGACATATGTATGTATGTATATGTATATATACATATAATATTACATGTGAAAGAGAGAGGGAAAAAGAAAAAGCACCTTCAACAGGGTCTCATCTCACTAGCCTCTTTCCCCAGCCCTTGAGCTCCTTAGGATCCTGACTGCCCACATGCACACCTCTCACATTTTCAGGTTGGTCTGGGGAATGGAAACTAAAGTCAGCCATGTGGCTTCCAGGAGCACTGTGTCACTGCAATAGTGTCTAGGCATCCCTAAGCTTTCTGAAGATCCCTCCTATAAATCATCCCCAAGAAAAGTGAAAACATACAGTCACCCAAACACTTGCACACAAATGTGCATAAAAGCTGAAATGTGAAAATAACTCAAATGTCCATCAATCGATGTGAGTACACATCAGTTGTAGTATATCCATACAACAGAATATTATCCAGCCATAAAAAGAAATGGAATACTGACACATACACAATTTGGGTGAAACTTGGAATGTTATACTAAGTGAAAGAAGTCAGACACAAAAGTCCTTACAGTATATGAATCCACTTAACATGAAAAGCCCACAATAGGCAAATCAATAGAGAAAGTAGATTAGTGGTTGCTAAAGAGGTGAATGAAGTAGGATTGCTAATGGGTACATAGTTTCTTTTTGGAGTAACAGAAATGTACTAGAGGCCCAGCTCTGTGGAAAAGTGAAAATGCACTGCTCAAGAGAAGCCAGACCCTTCGATTCAACTACAGTTCGAATTTCCAGCCAGTCAGCCTGAAACATGCCAGGCCGAAGATCCCGTGGGCTGGAGGACTGAAAGGAGACTGCGCCATAATCAAACGCTATGGAGGGTGCTCTTCTCATTCTCTCTCTCTCTCAACTACAATTGCATGTGCTCTATCATGAATAGTGAAAAACATTTTTAAAGAAAATGTTCTGGAATTACATCATGGTGACAGCTGCATACCTTTGATTATACTAAAGCCCACCAAACAGTATACTTTTAAAGGATCAATTTTATGGTATGTGTATAATATCTCAATTTTTTCAAAAAGAATTTATCGGACTCTATTGCCAAAACTGAACAACTAGAGGATATAGAAACAAAGAAAATGGTTATAAATCCCAGATACAGTGTGGGAAGAGGGTGGGTGAAGAAGAGTCTGAGGAAGGACATTACGGAGAAAAACAGAGATGTGGGTATTTGTGAAACAAGGAAATGGGTTATTGTCAGTTGAGGATGAGATGTATAGTATTCTCAGCTGGACCGGTGAGAAATGTATGCATGCTGAAATATTCACTTTGCTAGCTGAGTGCAATATGCGATTGAATGTGTAAAAGAAATTGAAATAAAAAACGTTTTCTACAGAGCAGTGATGGGATATAGTGATGTTAACTAGGCTACATGTAGTTCTAAAACAGGAAATGCATCTATTTATTGTTTTATCCACTGTTAATAAGAATAAAGCTTAGATATAAGTTTGCTGGAAAAATAAAACGCTTCTTGAACAGAATAAAAATTTTTATTATTTAAGTTTACTTACTACTATTATTATTTTTTAATTTGCTAGAGGACACTTAGGCTCAAGAGACAGAGAATCAGAAAGAGAAGGAGAGAAAGCCAGCCAGCCAGCCAGCCCTCCTGCCCACCCCAAGGTTCAGGACTAGAACTGTGGTTGGCCATGTGAGAGTCCAGTGCCCCAAGCACCACATCACCTGCTGCCCCCAATTGGTATATTCTTTTAAACCTTGGTTGTTGATGAGTTTGTTGTTTAAGTTCCACATACCTGAATTTTCCAGCATTTAAAAACTTTTTGAACGTTTATTTTATTATTATTACTTTTACACATTAGATTGTTATACATCATTTGGCTTGTAAAGAGAATTTACCCAGCATGAACTACACTTCAGACCATCCAGTTGAGAATACTATGCACACTGTCATCAACACGTAATAAACCATTACTGTGTCCCCCACCTCCCCCCCAAAAAAACAATTTATAAGAAAGCTAAGTAAAAGGCATTTGGAGGCATTTGGTATATAGAACATAGAAATTTAGAAGCCATAAGAAATCTTAAGAGCTGAAGATGGGGACCAGCAGATGGTATAATGGTTATATCACTGCTCCCCCACGTAGTTGACTGTGATTCAAGTCCCGGACCTGGCGGCTAACTCATGCCAGGTGTGTGTGTATGTGTACCCAAAATCCTGAAAGGAAAATGGAGAAGGGATTGGACCATGGTCATACCCTTGAGGGGGTGAGCTCTCGCTTTGTCTCTGTCTCTCTGACAAGTGAACACATCCTATAGCAAAAGTCTCTAAAAAAAAAAAAAAAAGCAGAGCTAAAGATGTAGGTTTTTGGTTTGTTTATAGGAGGACATCTCATACTTAACTGAAATCATAAGAACAAATGAACTCTCAAGGGAGAAAATAAACAGGAAAAGATGATGCCTTACTCAGACAAGTTGCCAGACTGGCAAAGACTCATTCTAACAGGAAGTTGGTAGCTAGTACGGAACAGACATCAAAGGTGAGTGAAGAAAATTTCAAAAAGAGGAGCTACAGACCTTTATCTTCAGAAAAAACATACTCACACCCAATAAATACTACTTTAAAAAACAAAAATAAGGGACTAGAAAATAACATCAAAGTGATATAAAAGCAAAGCAGAGACTGGAAAAGATGAAAACCAGATTAAAACAGTCATGGGGGTGGTCTAGGCCACCTTTCTTCACATTTGGCAAAGAAAGAAAACTTACATACCATAAAAACCTGGGCACAGCAGATGGTATGCTTACATCACTGGATTCCCACATGGCTGACAGCGGTTCAAGTCCCAGACCTGGCAGCTTGAAACTCAGGCCAGGTGTGTGAGCTTGAATGTCCAAAGTCCAGAGAGAAGAATGGAGGAGAAGAGACTGTGGCTTGGCCATCCCCCTAGGGAGTGATTTCTCACTTTCTCCCTCTGGCAAGCACACCCGCCCAATAGTAAAATCTCTCTTAAAAATAATTAATTAATCAATTAAAAAACCCTGTATGTAGGGCATTCTAGTCCAAGGGCAAACTTTCAGAAGCTCATATCTGTCCAAATTTTCCAAGAGCATCAAAGTAAAGAGAGACCCTAAAAAACATTATGGAAATAAGAAATGTTAATGGACCAAGGCCTAAGAAATGCAAAGGAAAAAAGAGCCAGGTAAAGGGATATATAGGGTCATCAGGAAAGTCATGATGCATTTTGTGCATAGAAAAACAGAAAAATATCTCATGACTTTCCCAAAGACCTAATATTTTCACATCAAAGCTATCCCCACCAATGTATAAGTCATCAAAATAAGTCATAATATGGTTGTCTTTCTCTCTCTCTTTGGTTGGCAGAGTAAAAATAGCATGTATTAGTGAAAAAAGTCTGAAACCTACGAGTAATGTAGCGGACAGCAGGTGGCTTGATGGCTAAGGCATTGGATTCCCACATGGCTAACCATAGTTCGAGTCCTGGATCTGGTAACGTGCTTTCTCACTCTCTCTTTCTCTCTGTGATTCTCTCTAGTGAACTCACATGCCCAATAGCAAATTGAAAAATAGTAATAATAATAAAATTAAATTGTTCTAAAAAAAAATGAGTGATGTAGACCTAGGTTTAAATCCCAGCTCTAACACTCACTTAACTAAATTAAGGAGTGATAGGGTGGGAGAAGCTGTATAACTTTAACAACAGAAATGTGTGTGTGAGGGGCTGGCAGGAGACGAAGTGGCTAAGGCGTTAGACTTCCAAGTGGTCAAACACAGTTCAAGTCCTGGATCCAGCAGCTTGAAACTCATGCCAGGCATGTGTGCGTGCCTGCTCAAAATCCCAAGAGGAGAGTGAAGAAGGGACTGCAGTATGGCCTTCCCCCCTTGGATGTTGGGGGGGAATTGATTCCTCATTTTCTCTCTTTCTGTTCCTCTCTATCTCTCTAACAAGCACACATGCCTTATAGCAAAAAGTCTCTCTCAAAAAAAGTGTTATGTGTTTGTATATATAATCTTTAACAGTAATTCTGTAATATATCAAATAACAATTCAATACTATTTGAGCAAGAAAAGTACAATTTAGTATCTAGGATCTGAATCTAATGTGATTTTTTAAAAGAATTCTTTAATTTTATTTATTATTACTATTGTTAAATTTTGCTATAGGACACGTGCAGTGACTAGACAGAGAAAGAGAGAGAGAGAGAGAGAGAGAGAGAGAGAGAGAAATTGAGAAAAGAAGCTGCCAGGTCCAGGACTTGAACTGTGTCAGGCATGTGGGAGTCCAGCACCTTAATTACCATACCACCTGCTGGCCCCCAAATCTATTGTGATTTTTAAAAACTTTAAAAAAATATATACCTTAATTTTAATGATATTTTACTTTAAGATTTTAACCTTTACACAATTTTTTATAGAAATACATTCCATTCATTGTGACCTACATAACCTAAAATTTCTGACTAACTTCTCCATAAAATACTGGCCATTATAAAAAAACAAAAACAAAAACAAAACTGTTATTTGAACTAAATATTCCTTGTTGTATTATTTTTCTAAGAATCAACATGAAATTGATTAATTACTCATTAGAATTACCCCTTTCTCTTTCGGTAAAGTTACATTTTATATTTTCTTCATTATTACTTTAGAATTTTCAAAGGAAAATGTTAATCAACTCTTAATACAACTACCTATTTTGTTGTCATTTTAGTACAAGAAGTTGAAAGTTGTTCCTGACCTTTGCACACTCTCTCATACTGTTGGGTGGCTTCCTCCACTTTCTGGCTACTTAACTGCTCCTACAAAATAGAAGAGTATGAATTAAATGCAAATGACTCTTAAATACACAACAATACTTAGTAGTGGGTCTTGAGAAACAGGACTCAAAGGAAGTTTGAAATGAGTTTGCTTACTGAAATTAAGTCTGCCTACCAATCTCAAACATTTAAGTTTCTTTAACCTCAAAGGAAAATGCAGTATAAGGATGGTAAATCAAACAGGGGAAGGATACAAATCTATGTTTGTTTCTTTGTTGGTTTTTCCATTTAAATAATAACCAATAGCAATAAAGCAATTTTGTTTTTCAAACATCACCTTAGAAAAGAATTTAAGACCTGTTTCCTAACTTTATTCTGATATAACTTTAGATTACAAGAGTTGCAATGACAGCACAGAAATTTGCTACATACCTAAACTCAACTTTCCCAAATGTTAATCTTTTATATCGCCACAGCACATTTACCAAAAGTTAAGACATCGACATTGGCATAATGCTATTAATTATACTACAGACTTCGCTTCACCAACGTTCATGACTTTTCCCACTACAATCCTTTTTCTGTTCCAAGACCCCATGCAGGACACACATAAGACTGCATTTTGTCACCATGTCTCCTTAGTCTCCTCCAATCTATGATATGTGATAGTTCAGTCTTTATAATGCTCAGGTAATATACAAAACATCCTCAATTTGTGTTTGTCTGTCTGTCATGTTCTCACAAACAGACTATGTTTACAGTTTTGGGGGAAAAAATCGCAAAAAGAGAATATGCCCTTATCTCATCAAATTCAGGTGAACATAGATAGCATCAATATGATTTACTACTGGTGATACTATTCTTGAACACTTAGGGTGATATCTGTTAGGTTTTTCCACTGTAAAGTTACTATTTTTTTTCTCTTACATACTGTTGATTAGAAGTAAGCCACTATGAAATTATTTAATTTTAAGTCATTTATTTTTAGATTTCAACAAAGGTAAAACTGGAGTACATTATTAAAAACTTACATCAGGATCACCAGTTGGCACAATGGCTATGTCACTGGACTCCCATAACCATTGTAGTAGACCGTGGTTCGAGTCCCGGATCTGGTGGCTTAAACTCGCACCGGGCGTGTGTGCGTCCGTGCCCAAGATCCCGAGAGGAGAATGGAGAAAGGATTGCGGCATGGCCATCCCCACTGGGGGGCGATCTCTTGCTTTGTGTCTCTTTGCCTCTCTCTGTCTCTCTGGCGAGTGCATGCACCCTATAACAAAAACCTCTACAAAAAAAACCTTACGTATATGGGACCAGAGTGAGTGGTAGAGGACAGGTGTGAGATGCAAAGGGAAGAAACATTTAATAAATTAAAAACAAAAAAGTAAAGTTCTCTTTTTTAAAAATGTGTATTAAAAATTTAAAAAAAAGACATAAACCTCAAAGCAAAATCAAAACCAAACAAAAACGACTAGCTGGTGGCACAGGGATAACAAGGCTCTGCGATGCTGCCCACGCAGGACAGTCCCAGGTTTATGTCCAGAGCCTCCCTGCACATGCCAGGCATGTGTGCGGCGTGCCTGTGATCCGGACTGACTGACACTGGGGTCGATCACAGCGTCCAGACACTGCTGGGCTACCTATCTGTGTATCCTACTTCTCTCCTTTCCCTAAGGAGAAATAAACGTTAACATCAATGATAAAAACATGACATATTTTATTAAACACCGAGTCAATAGGATATATTTAAGCCATATTTAAAAACACGACTGTTACCTTGAGCTGCTGAATGGTTCTCTGTTTCATATCTATTTCCTGAGAGCACTGATTTTTCTTTTTCTCCAGCTCATTAATTTTATTTCTCAGTAAGTTCTCTTCATCACGCATTACAGATATCTACAAAGTAACATTTATAAAAACAAGTTAAATGTTTTCTAAAATATTACTTCTCATTGTTTAGAATTTATGGCCATTTGTTCAAAGACTCACGTCCTTTAAAGCCCCTTAGAAAAATTATAGATTAATATACTGTATGATACAGCTTCAAATTATCAGGAAATATCTTAAAGGGAGAACACATATAAAGAGAGTTCATTTTTTTCTCACACTATCTTGGATCCTATGTCCTCTCAAAACGAGAATCACCATAGCACCTGCATCTAATAGTAAAGTAATTACCATGGGGGAAAAAAAAATAAATCAACGCACGCTGAAGGAAAAGGGAAAAAAATTTGGCTCCAATTTCCAAAGTTTACTTAGTAATATGATCCAGGAATACCAAAAATACATTAAAAGCAAATAATAGACCATAGGGAATGGAAATGGAACAATTACAAATCAAAGGTATCCATGCAAATGAAAGGCAATTGAATTTTTTATAGAATTATTCATTTAATTTATTATCATTAATTATTATTATTATTATTATTATTATTATTATTTAATTTGCTATAGAACACATGTGCTTGCCAGAGAGGCAAAGAGAGAGAGAGGATAGTGAAGAAACAAGTTGCCATATCTGGGACTCAAACCGCAGTCAGCCATGTGCGAGTCCAACACCTTAACCACCATGCCGCCTGCTGGCCCCAGGACAATTGATTTTTGATGTACTGTTAGATGAACTTGTTACATGTCACCTAATTACATGAACTTGTTAGAGAAATCAAGGCATTATGAACTAGTACACAAATGCTCACTCAAAAACAGTTTATCTACGTACATCTCTATGCCAATTTCTGTAATACCACCACCCTCTGGTAACTTCGTCACTTTTACTGTGTCTTGACAGATTTTCTAGAGGAAATTTATTCAACTGGCAACTTCTCTTCTATTCCTTTGTGAAGCTTTACTGCCAGAACTCCCAATTTTCACACTCCCTACAGATCTCAAAGGTTGAAGGAGTTTAAATGAAAAGACATTCCCCATAAAAAGCACAGAGATACTGTAATAGAAATAGCTAGGAGTGGTGTGACTTCAGGGGATTCTTACATTCCATCTTAAGTTTTCTGAACATTCTGAATTTACTAGAATAAAAACAGATTTACTTTATGATCAGACATTAATACTCTGTCACTGGAAAAGTCACGACACATTTTTGTACAGAAAAAAATACGTCATGCCATGATTTTTCCAACAATCCGGTATTTATCTGCTTATTTTGTTTAAAAATATGAGGCATCCAGTGGTGTATCAATTATACTGATATAAACTGTCAGCCAATAATAAACAGAAGCTACTCTCTGTTGTATAATAATGTATGTAAGGACTGCCTCAGCTTCCATTTTAGCTCTACTACTTCCTAGCTAAATGAACTAGAGCAGTTACATTTCTCAAGATCTGTTAACTTTCCCTAAAGTGGAAGGTAAAAATAATGTCTATGGGCTGGCTCCAGGAACCAAAGGTTAATGGAGTCAGATCCTGCATGGCTGACTTCATGGTTTGAATTTGGGACCCAGTGGCTCAAAAAACACACTGGGTGGGTGTGCATACATGTCCAAAATTCTGGCAGGACTGAAGAAATGAAGGAGATGATTTTGGGGTGACCATGCTCCGTGTGCAGGGTGTTAACTCCCTCTCTGGCAAATGCACACACTCTCTGATAAATACGGGGGAAACAACCCTGCCTACACCAAACACTGCATGAGAATTAAGATGATGTCACTCCAGAATAGTAACTGATCCAGACTAAGTTACTCTAATTCCTATTATTAGTAGTACTGACATTACACATTATTGGGGTATTGTTCACAATGATAATGCTGCATATGTCTATCAGCAGAAGACCAGGTACTATAAGCTGAACTATCAAACAACAGGGGACTGATTAATTACTGGTAAATACATGTACAGACAGGTGCCACATGACAACATTTACGTCAATGACAGGCAGTGGTCCCATAAAACTGTAACAGACCTGAAAAATTCCTGC